GGATTTTCAAATAACGCTGCTACTCGCTCGCTATCAAATACAAGTAGTGCAGGAACAGTACAATTTACCCAACTCATATTTTATAATATTAATAGGAAAGTCTGTGAGAATGTATGATTGTATGTTTGTTATTCTTTAAGGCAAAAACGGATGGACTCATTCTTTTTTGTTCAAATTTGTTATGTAGATAGCTGATATTCTGAATGAACTTATAGGCTACATCTTTTTATCCTCCACGCGGGCGCAAGCTAGTAAATAATAATCGTAGAAAATACATACAATTAGGTAGAGTCACAAAAGTGCTTGCCAGGTTCGAACCCGCCTCCATAGATAGGATTATGACCCTGCACTATAGATGTTTAGACTACCTTTTAGAAAAAATGGTTAAACTCAGATCTGAAACTAAATTAAGTTAAAAGCCTTATAAAGAAAATCATCTCCAATATTTGAAGACATAGGTTACCACTAAAAAGGTTCCATAACTAAATTACAAAGCAGCAGGGACCGCAAAAGCCATGGGTCTTTTGAGGCCGCCATCTTGCTTCCCAAAAATGACAGCTAAAAAACAATTGGGAGTAGGTCTCTCGCATGGAGGATTCCGTACCTACCAAAAACACATTTGTTGATTTCTCCTTAAATATTTATTTTGTTTATAATAGCAACAGAAATATATCCAAATAATATAGCTAGTATGGTTTTATCATGACTATACAGTTTAGTGACTAACAGATAGACAGCGAAGTTTAAGTATTAGTGCCGTTCTTACCCTTTGGGTACAGAACTCTAAAAAAATACTTCCCATATTTTAACTGCACTGGACATGGCACTTTTACCAGCAGGTCAACCTACTTGTGTTTTTCAAATTGTTTTATGCGAGTCCCAACTTTATCCTTCAGGTATAAAGTCGTAAATGCTATGAAAATATTTACAGATTGGTGTAGTTTGACCTGCGCGCGACTGTACTTAGTCCATTATTCCCATTATCCCTCGATCTGTTTACCCCCACCTCTCGTTGTTAAGGGCACTTTACGAATAACGTTGACAGCACCCCGGGGGCCATTTTATCCAATTACTTGATGAGCACATTCATTCGACGTCAAATACAATGTTTATTTTTAGATTGTCTGTCGGTATGTTGCTGTACAAGTGCGAATGTTGGGATAGCTTTGTTATTTCTAATAGAACATAGTATTTTGTAAAGATTATATTTTTGCAAATTTTTCTATGTACAATAGTTTTTAAAATAATGTTAGCTTTATGAAGTGTATTAATATTTACAAATCGTTTTCAGGTTATAATATAATTAGTCTAAAATTTGGCGTCGCTAGAAAGACTAAGGACTTATCATATTTCTAACTTGTGATGTTACATAGACATATTCGTTTGCGAAGATCCTTGCTAAGTAACAGTGTAGGTTGATCGGTTTTTAGGTTAATTTATGCTTGTTACTTTCAAAGTGGGGTGTGGTGACCTCGAAGAGTATGTTCTGGTGAAGAAATAGCTTTTGATAGTTTTATCATTCTAATCATTATTTTCAGTTCGATGTAGTCAAGCTGTTTTAGAGCCATCTTCAATATAGTAATTTTAACTAATTTATACTCATGTTACAAGAATATATCTAGAACGCAAAAATACACAGAACGCAATATTTCTAGCCAATTTGCCCAAGGACCTAGGACCGGATTAGTAATGATTAAATGACTAATAGTACCGTGTTAAGACCTCGTTTCTATCGTGCGTTTGTCGTAACTACTTTACAATAGTAGACCTCACGGTCTACTACTGCAAGTGCAAATACAAATTAATAACGGACCACAAGGCGCACTGCGCAGATGGGGTGCTAGAGCAAGCGCAGAGACAGGAGGGTTAAAACCCTCCGGTTCCTTCCTTCCTCTATGTCAGTAAGAGTCTGATAAATTCTTCTCTCTTTTTATTATAAAGAGTGAAGTATGTTGATGATTTTTTCCTCCTCCAAAAAAAGGACTCATTGCGCTTGTGCAAACGAGGCCTTATAGTCCACTGATCTATTACATAAATAGATAGTGATCGAATTCATAAAACCAAAACTCAAAAAACTATCGTAAAAAATGATCCACAGAGAATAGAACGACTATAAACTTGAAGAACAATAATAACTTGTACATTTGCAGTAAAATGGTATTACGTAATAGTTCTGTTTTAGTACTTAACTTGACATAAATTCAACGATACGTTGAATGGTCGTAAATTGTCAACGCTATATGGCTTCTACTGGGAGTAATTCTAGTCACTCATGTCTCTGGATTTCATGTAAATACTTTATACTCAGTCACAAGGGCTTTTGTGGAAGTCTGGCTTTTGAGTGAATCTGCATTGTCTTTGTTTCTGTGTTTGGTACATACTCTGTAGAAGAGCTAAGTTTTGGCACGAATGGGTGTGCTTAATCGGTGTTATACCACGGCTTCACGGAAAACCGGCGTACAACAACCACAGCGTTGTTGTATCCTTAAATCTCCAAAAGGCCGGCAATGCACTCGTAACTCCTCTGGTCTCGCGGGTATCCTTGGGCAATTGCTTACCATCCGATAATCCAAACGCTCGTTTACCGTCCTATAACATATAAAAATTTCAGTGACGAGCAGTTTGTAATATACTAGCTACTCATTCAAAAAAAAAAAAAAAATGCGCGCAATGTAAAGCAAACGGGCTTCGTGTCACTGTGTGCGTAGGTTCACAGCGTAGCATGAAAACGCTGTGATAAGTACGTAGGTCGACGTTTTACTTCGCAACAACAAAACAATTCTGTAAAATAAAAATCCTACTGAGATACACGATGCATGTTTTTTGTGCGGGTCTGCATTTATTTATTACGTACATTATTGTCGTAACTTCAAATGCGTAACTTATTTAGAAAAATCGAAAATTCAGGTAATGTTTGTTTGGAAAAAAGTTTTGTAATAATACGTAGAATTTGATTGCGCAAAAAAAAAAGAAAAAAAAATGCATCTTTGACCTTCAATATCTCGAGAACCCGTGGAGCTATGGTCTTAAAGAAAAAAATGAACCAAATAATGGGTAGAATACGTGGCTTTCGGCTTCGTTAAGTGTCTTTTTACACCCTGTAGATTAGTTTGTCAAAGGTCGTTTTTTTATGAATGTGTAACTGAGTAAAATAAAAGGATAACAACAACAACAACAACAGACTTGAAACTGATATCGTACAGATATAGTGGAAGATGTTCTCATGCATGGGAATCGTTCGGAAACCAATGTGACTTTTTTCGACTTTTGTATACTGTATTGGATAGACACTGACATACGGTGAACGAGGAAAACTGGAACTCAAGTTACAATTTTGAAATCTCAAATTCGCCTTATGCAAGCGTGGTAATACTGAAATCTTTTTCGTGTCACAAGTGTTTGAACGATGGGAGTAACTTTTTTTTAAACGGTTTTATTTCTATTTAAAAAAAAAATAAACGTTGCCTCACACTAGGATTTTTTCCTGTTTTACAGTCCTTCCTATTGTTTGTGTAATCAACAAATTGTTGTGTTTGTGATATGCATGAATGTGAGATTTATGATTATGTTTAGTAACACACATTTTGAAAGGAGAAATGCCCTTTCTCGACTTGTGTTGAAAATTTAATTTTTTGTATTAAAATTATGGGTAACATTTTCACAGTAAGATTTACTTCTAAGACGTGGTTGCGTTCACAAACATACAATTTCACATAGGTACATATTACATCACACAGAATATTGGTTCATTCCGAAATCGCCTCCGATTCCCGAATTTACATCTAATAACCATGGTCATCGTTTGTTAAGATCGTGTAATAGATCCTTTTTATATCAAGTAACTTTTTTTGGCTTTTGAACTGTCATTTTACGCTTTGTGTGTTTTAGCGCTTCACTCAATACTATAGTTTCCTGCCTTTTACTTAAAGTGTAAATTAGATTGATTAGAATAAGTAGTTAGAAATTAATTTGTATTGCCCTTTAGTTTCCTTTAAAGCAAATGGCTAATAAAATGAATAATTATAAAACAAAAATTACAACTAAATGTTCTTCTTTTATGTGTGTGTATTTTTAAGAATTTACCGATGTGTATTATTTTTATTATTTTTCTGGTTACATATTTGTTGCCAGAAAAAATAATCTAAGTATATTATGTTTTTTTTTTAAGATTCGTGTACATACTTACTTACATCATAAATAACAACTTTTGTTCTATGACAATGAAAAATATAATCTACGAATATGAACTAAAGATGGTGGTTTGACCATGTATTATTATTTAAATTCTTCTACTACCGGTTTTTGCCTGCGTTGTAAAAGATACTCTACGTGTTATTTCATTTTTATATATATGTATGTAGGTATCTATTGAATAGTTTTGTAGGGGAGTGTAAGGTAACAAAAATTTTGTTGTTTGTTGTTGATCCACCAGCCACGAGTTGCAAACTTTTGAATTTATAGGTATATTAATAGGATGTGATTATATGTACCTTAGCAAATTAAGGTATCACAGGCTTTGTTATATAATATAAATATTTTTGACATAACGTCGTTTCAAAATGAATTTTAAAAACTCTTAGAACAAAAGTTGTTGTTTATGATGATGATAGAATCTTGCGATAGTGTCGTCAGGTACCCAGTTAAGCTGGACATTGGCAAAATTTGTGGAGACGGGCTTTACCGGAATTTCGGATTTTGAATTTTGCGTGGATTCTTGCGTTCACGTATTACATATAAAGCAAAGCCTTGAAATAAAATTTTGATCCATGCTAATGTCCAGCCTAAATTTAATTAGCAGGTCAGCTCGGTCATTAGATATGGCGACCTGACAACCCTACTAGCCACGATTTTTATGTTCTACAAAAACTCTTTTATTTTTGAAACAGAAAAGCATAGACTCACGTACATTTCACACATCAATTTTTGTGAGTTAACCTGTGTTGAAAACCCAATCTCAAAACACTTAATTTCTTCATTGCTAAAGTCGAATGTTGTTTCAGACGACGAATTTGGAGAGAAATCAGTATCGGTTCTGTTAGATGGAGAAGAGTCTGAGATGATATTCATTGATCATCCTAGTACTGAAATGTCGGTGAGTATTTAATTATTTTAAATATAAAATTGTCAAATATGTGTTTAAAGTCGAGTTTACTTTGGCTACTAACCAATTTATTTCATTGTGTTTTCATTAAATACTTTACTGATTCTTGTGAGTCGAGTGCAAAAACAATGCTAAACTAAGGCTTTGGGTTCATACCCATGCCAATGCTAAAAAAACTCGCTTAACTATGAATTTAAAAAAAAAACTATAAACGGCATATTAATTGTTTGGTAGATTTTTTTAAGAGCTCTATAAATATAGTTCTCTAGGAGTCAAACCTACCAATAAATAGGATAGGTTATTGTAATGGTCCTAAGTCCCAAAGCCCCACATAAAACCATATAATTTCTTCCACCACAGGTAGAGAACTGTCTCTCGACGTACGAGCCCCATGCTTGCGTGGTCGTCTACTCCGTGGTAGCCAAGAGTTCATTCACTCGCGCTGCAGAACTCCTGGCGTACCTAGCCCGGGAACAGTTCACTGTGGAGCGGACTGTAGTTCTGGTCGGGAACAAGGCTGACCTGGCCAGAGCGCGACAAGTTTCTACTAATGGTAAGTTTTTTATGTAATAAAAGGCAAACGAGCACATGGATCACCTGATTGTAAGCGATTGGCGTCGCTCATGGACACCCGCAGCATAGAAAAATCACTGGTGCTACGGTCGTTTCTTGAAGGTTGGAGTGCTGATGATGGCTAGGAAAGTATTTCTTCTAGCATAAGCACACTGAAATGAGCTTCATCATCATCATCATCATCAGCCTATAGGTGCTCACTGCTGAGCAAAGGCCTCTTCACACACGGGACAGGTTAGAGCAGGAATTACCACGCTTGCTCAATCCGGGTTGGCGATTTCGAAATGAGCTTAAGATTGTGGTATTTCCAAACCAAAATAAAACGATTTTGGAATTACTCTGGTGATTCTTAAAAAGTGTGTGGCTGGGCAACTGGCTGCCGTGCAACGTGCCACGGGTTCGATTCCCTCACGGAACAACTCTTTGTGTGATCCACAAAGTGTTTTGCCGGGCCTGGGTGTGATGTGTATGTAAAAGTTTATGTTTATAAATACACCAGAAAAAATCCTAATGTGGGTCAAAATTAATAAAAGTAAATTTCTACAAACTAAAAAATATTTCCTACAGAGGGCAAAGCACTGGCGACATCAAGAGACTGCAAATTCATAGAGACATCATCAGGGATCCAGCATAATGTAGATGAGCTATTGGTTGGGATCCTCAAGCAGATTCGACTGAAAGAGAGCAGGGATAAGAAACACGCCAAAAAAACTGGAAAGCAGGTAACTTGTTCAAACAGAATTGATCTCTAAGCATGTGATAAAAAGTTGAATTTTTTGTAACGCTATAATTCATTATACATGTGTATAATGAAAACCTAATAAATTATAACACCGTACAGACACTTAATAGCAGATTTAAATTACCTTCAACAGAATATGCTTGTAAGAAAATAAATTTTCCCAAGCGAAACATTTTTATCAAAAGCGATCATAAGATTATTTTAAAATAGAGTTAATAATCAGAAAAATAAAGTTCAAACTAAAACTAAATCTATTACTAGAACAGAATCTTGACATTTATTTATCATTGCTACTCAAAATTTAGCTGTAACTAATGATGAATTATTAAAGAATAAAGAGGCTGACAATGAAGAAACAAATAATTCAGATGTTTGAATAACAAATTGGGGCATCAGTAAGATACCTGAGCAATTTCGAGTTCAAATAATAAAATATGCATAACAATAAAATAAGGTAGAAGAAAAATTAATGAGACAATTCCCGAAGCTTGAACTTGATAAGAAACTCAATGTTCTGTAAAAGGGAAAGACAAAAAGAAGGGCGAATGTAACATGTCTGTGTATTCGCGTAATTACAAACGAAGTAAATATAAAAAGGTTTCAATGGAGGAATCCAACTTCGAGATTAAGATCAAACAGAGAAATTCATATTTCACCTGTAGAAATAAAGAAAAATATTCCCGTGAAAAGAAATTTTCTTTATTTTTTTGTTTTAGGACGCGAAGCAGCCTAAATTAGCCAGTTCGCGTACACACATATCGCTCAGCATCGCAAGAGAACTACTGCAAAAGATCTGCATAAACGACATCTCCAAATCAAAGTCTTGTGAGAACTTGCACGTCCTGTAATCTTCTGCTCTCCTGGTACCTTATAAATGTTGTAGATGTCTTTCTTAATGTTAATTGTATAGAGGATTCTTCCTTTTATTTTATCTATTTCGTGTTTTTAATCAATGTTCGACTGGTTATAAGCTAAGGTTGATTCTATTGAGTATACGATAAGCTCTGTAGCTACCTGCTTTGTTACTGGAATTTTAATATAATCAATCTTCATGGAAGCTTCTCGAAAGCAGATTCCATTTTACTTCGGAAAATTCCATGAAAGAATTTCTCTTTGACATTAAATTTATATTTTTTTTACGAAATGATCCAGTAATTTTCATTCACTATAGTCAACTTTTGCAAATACCGTATTGTGTCAAGAAAACAGCAGACGTTTTCCCTCTGAACCGTTTACGTCACGACGAATAATTTATGGACGATGTTATAAAAATATTCGTTTGAAAAGTGGGGTAAATCCGGAGACCCTTGGCAAAAGCGTTGATTTTCATACGTAATATTCTTATTTCGAAGGGAAAATGCCTAAATAATATTATATTCTCGGTCAATTTCATATCATATGGGTTCAACAAACAATAGCTTGGCAATATCGGGATCGATTTTTGCTCGTATGAAAGACATTTGAGAAATTCATATAAATCAGCGTCCAAATTGATTGTATTCCATCCATTCATTGATGTAATAAGGTTTCGTTGTCTGGATTTGACAAATATTCTTTTGCCCGTCTTTCTTTTAACATTTACAATGCTTATTACATTTTTCATTTGACAGTATCAAATTATCCATATCGCTTTCTCTCTCAGTTTGAAACTTCTAACAGACATTAAATACATCAAAGTAATCTTTTGTTTCAGTTTGATAATCTGTCCATCTAATTGGATCGTTATTCATAGAAATTGATGCGAAAATTATTTCATAGAATTTCGTGAGAGATTTTTTAGTGATTCCAAGATCCATAATGGATCAAATTGCTGCTTTCTGATTTAATTGTATTCAGTTTTTCAAAGAACTTAACGTCAGGTATTAAAATAACATGATGTGAAATAGAAAAAAGAGAATAATACGTTTTGTTCTTACCTTCTTAAAAATAAGTACCTAGTTATAAAATTCAGTGTAGTATTTGAAATATCCATATCCTTAGCATATTCTTCTTCATTTACGATACCATCTCTGTTTTCCTCCTTATTCTTAACTTCAAATCTATCAGTACAAAATCCAGGAGGTCTCTTAAACTGTAAACTTGTTCTTGTTACTTAACTATAACAAGATAGGGGTGGTTTTGCCTTGACAAGGATATTAACGACCTTGGTCCCACTTACTATAATGGATGACCTTGTCACCACTGAAAGGAAATATTAAGCGAAGCTAATTTTAGATAGGCATTTACATAATGCTTCCTAAGATGAATAGAAAGTATTAAAGACTATTTTTAATACTAAAATCTTGGTGTGGTTAGAAGTAAAAAATGTTATTTCTTTCTTATACATGATGTCATAAAGATCAATTTTATGTGTTTCAGAAGTACCTATGAAGTTTCAATGTTACGTCAAATTTTTGCATGGACGCCATTGTAGATTTTGGATTACAAAACCTGCAATGGGGTTTATCCAATAAGTTATATTATTGGTAATGGCTAAGGTATGACTAGAGATGTGATTCTTGTGTATGGATCGCTCGGTACTACTAACATTTTTCTTATTAGACGATCCACAGTACAACAATATGTGACAACATCAGGCGGTCACTTTTAAAAAATTAATCAGAAGAAAGTCACCTCAGAGCTAAATAACGAGATTAAACATAAAAAAATCGTTTTCGTAACAACAGACCCAAAATACCTTTTTTATATAATAAAAATAATATTATAGAGTATTCAGTGTTGTTCATAAATGTATCAAATATTGATAATATCGTTAACATAATGAAAATTTTCCATTAGCGTACTTGTTAAGTTTAGTGTTTATATTCGATTCGTGTTTCGAGTAATCACTTAGAAGGTTCATGGTATCAGATGAACAGAATGGCGTGGAGTGTTGGCTTTGGTGTTTTATTTGCATATCAACTTGTTGGTGACAGAAAATTTTGTCGTACGAACATATTTTTTACGATAACTATATCGTGGTTTTCAATGTCGATGATTGATCTATTTTAATTTGTTGCATAATAATATAACATTGATTTAGCCTGGAACAGACCACAGATCTAGAACTTAATGACCATCTTGTAAGTAACCATCTCTTATATCAAAATATATGGAAATTTCCAAATATTAGCAGCAGACAAACATCAATGATTAGGTCTACAATTAGATTCGATTCAAAGTGATTGGCGCTTGTTTTGGTAGCCTAGGTTATTAACTGTTTCGTGAAGATTTTTGTTTAGTCTATTGTCGGATTTCAATTTTGGAATTTACACTAAGATTATTGGCCTAAATTCGATTTGCATTAATTATTTCTACCTATAATCTTATTGGCTTTTACATAACTAATCATTTCCATTTATTTAAAGTTGTGGGTATACTTTCAGAATACCAGTTATCTATACTTATATTATTAAGAGATAAAATTTGTCATTGTACGTTTGTGTATAGGGGGTAATCTTTGGAACCGCTGGTCAGATTTGCAAAATTCTTTCACTGATACTCGTAGATAGCTACAATGTTACTGTATGCTATAGGCTACAAAATCACACTAAGATTTATAAAAGTATAGTTTAAAACATATACGAATAACAACGTTCATTTCAAGTCCACAGAATTGACTCATAACTGTAAGTTGAAATTATTAAAACCTCAGTGTTAGTAGCCAAACCTATATTTGGATAGCAGAAACTTTTCTGCAGTTTAAATTTGGCTTCAGACCGCAAAAAAGTTTCTTTGGCTGTACGGTGAATGTTGTGGCTAGTTAAACAGCAGCTGTGCAACCTGTAATTTACTTTATTCGGCTTTGCTTCTTACATGAAGCAACTTTTTGGTGTTTTTCTAATTAGTGCTATGAGTTTATGTTTGATGTATTAATATATGTATTATTTGAAGACGACAGAAGATATTCCCTCTCGCCTCACACTAGGCGTGAAAAGTCATGTATTGTGACGTTTCCATCCTCGAAAAAAAGGACACGATCCTAGTGTATAGCCGAAGAATGCTTTTAACACTATTTGCGCTGTGGTTCAAATTCAGACTAAAACAATGTTATTATTCCTTCATTTCATTTAAACCAATAGACGTTCAGCCGGGGTTGCGGGGTAAGCGCAATGAGGCACCGCGACCTCGGCATAGAGCAGGAGAAGGAACAGGGGAGTTTTTAGTCAGTAAGAGTCTGACACTCCCTCCTGCCCGGCCCTGGGCGGGAGAAGTCATTTGATGATTTTCCCCTCACAAAAAAAAGACGTTCTTTGCAAATGACTCCATTAATGTAACTTTTTCTTAGAAACAAGTTGATATTGTAGAATATGCCATCAATCGCTATGTTTGAACAGACACTCCTGACTCCACCTTGCCTCGCCTAGCAGAACACTTAGTAGCCATCTTTTAGTCATTAAAATGGACTGTGTAACCAATATGTCACGGCCAATAATAAAGAAAATTCTACTCGAAACATGAGTCGCTATTCGTCTTGTAAGGGAGCGGCCATGGTTTTGTAAATTCATCTGTGTTTTAGACTTTAATTTTAAGTAAGTGTTTGTTAAGGGAATATGCTTTTTATGTGTATTTATGGTTCTATGGTGATGGTGTTAGAAAATGACTATGTATCTTTATATTGAAATTTTGTCAGTTATGTAGTATGACAGGGCAGAGACTAAGCTTAAAGATTGTAAAGATTTACTCTCGTGAATTAACATCATTCATTGTTTCATTGTTTCAAGGATTTCGTCTGTTAATTCAAGAAGGTAAGTCGTTAAAATAAACAAAAAACCAATTTATCTACTTGACGTAAATAATGTTTTTTTTATTGATTACAAATTTTATAAATATATGGGATGCCTAAAGATTCTTGTAAAAGCAATAAAAAATGTAAACTGGCTTAAAACTACATAACTGATGAAAAAAAAAGAATTATAAACGCTTAACCTTTCTTTAATAATTTTATTGAAGCATCTATGAGAATGTTTTTTGTATACATTTAATGCGTGTTAATTTTGTTTTGTATTATCATTAGCATGGCCGCTCTAAGCTCCTTAAAAATGTAGGTAATATTATTTATACGAACGCAAGCATTGTTATAAATAATATTAAAATAAAAGAAGGAGTTTTAACTTTAAGATACCCAACGTGCAATCCAAGATGGCGTTCGTCATATTTTCTATGTAAAATTTTACCTGATTGCACGCTTTGTACACAGTATGAAAATGTTCAGAAGATCAACTACCGAAAAATTAAAGCATTTCTGTGTTATTCTGAGTAAAAAGAGACGTAATGCAAATCATGCCATTCTTTTTATTAAAAATCCTAATGAATATGTAAAATTAATCAAGGGTAAAAAATATTTGGGTAGATACTAAATATATTTATAATAATTATATGTAATAATAACTTTGAAAATCCGTTTCATTAAAATATTTATTGGATTTATTAATAAAAACGAATGGTGAGTCCGATTTGTGTTTTGGACCGGAATAAACCAATTACAAACGCGTTCTATTGTAAATGTACGTTCGACATATTTTTGTGTTTGTCCGTAAGTAGATATATTAAACATATAGGTGCGTAAAATTGGTTTGTTCATTCATTCATTTATCGTTCATTCGTTCACAAAAGTATGATAAAGTTACATGAAAAATATTTCGAACGAAACACGGTGAGATTTATCAATTCATCGTATTATTTTAATTTATTTTTTGTAAATTATAAATAACGAATAACTGGTACTTCTGCATTTTTTATACTGTGTCAAGAATCAGTATTAATAATATTCGTGAAAATATGAAAAAAAAATTGCGCTTGTCTATACATAGCGTGAGTTAATGTAAAGCTACGTGTTACTATTAGAATACTAATTATATTTTTCTAT